TTAACTCCTGTGAACGTATTTTGTAATTTGATTAATTTATGAATTTGAATTTATTTTGATTAAAAATTTTGAATTCCGTCTCGTCGTCCATATTTAAAAGTCAAAACTTTTTTATCGAGTCTTTTTAAAACTCTGTATTAGTACGTGACGGGCTGTAATATGAAGCCAAAGCTTCCAAAAGCAGATTATTTCAGTGTCCTATTGTTGAATGCTATATGCTTGGCCGAATGATTTGTTTGATGTATATTATGCTCTAACATTATTCTCGTATGAATGCTAATTATAATTTTAAAATAATTATATTTGAGATTAAAATTTAAATTTGTTAAAATTAAATTTTTTTGCACATTCAATGTAATAAGTAATGATTGAATTATTTCCTAAAATTTAATATCTCAAAACATAAAAATATTTGGTAAAATGTTTAAAGGATTACGACAAGTCGTACTCGACAAGACAAGACAGCCGAACCAAACAGCCTCCCTAAATCTATTATGAACCTGTCGGGTCCCCAAATTATTGAGGGGTCTTGAGTGGCCAGGACCATTACCACGTGTCGAATATCTATAGGAGAATATTAGCTGGTCCCCACTAGGCTTAATAATGTGGCTATAAACCACGTGGTCCCCTGACGATGTGTAATTTTAGCATTATCATGGTTTTACACGTGGAAATGGTTCTGTTTTTCGTGGGTGAGCTGGAATTATTTATAATTAGAATCTTACAAAATATCTCTCAAGTTAAGTAGATTCATTTATGGAGATTTTTTTTTTTTTTTTTTTTTTTTTTTTTTTTAAGAATAAGATAGAAAATCATAAAATTAATATATCCAAATACAAATAAGTATGAATTTTATTTAAAAAAAAATTAAAAAAAAAAAACCGTCTACAACTCAACCCGAAAATAGAAAGTTAGGTTATGAGTTTTATTCGGATTGTTCGGATCACTAGTCTAACCAACTAAAAATGACGAGTAACCGTCTACAACTCAACCCGAAAATAGAAAGTTAGGTTATGAGTTTTATTTAGAGCTGTTCGGATCACTAATCCAACCAACTAAAAATGACGAGTTAGCACAAAACAAAACGAGAAAAAGAACTCAACAAAGTGGTGTCAGATTGTGTCTCTTTTATCTCGAGTCCTCCATTATCTTCAAGGCCCATCCTTTCCATTGGGCCTTCTTCAAAGGGTTAGCTCTCAATAAATAAATAAATAAAAAGTTTAGTTTATTACAATTTTACCCTCCCAACTGTTATTAAACGGCGTCGGGAGAGAGTAATTTCTCGTTAGCATCGAGAAAAATTAGTTTATCTCGATTATGTCATTTATCATTTAAAAATATTATTTTTTTCTAATAAATATCGTAGTCTCGAGAGAATAGGCGTCGGGAGAAAATGATTTTTTTTTTTTTTTGTTATTTTCTATATATTAATCTTTTTGGCTTTTTTTATTTACTAATTTATATTAGTCTTAATTTAGTACTTTTATTTATTAAGATATAATTTTAAAAAAATAGATATAAATATGTACTAACTTTTTTTGGCTTCTAATTTTAGATAAAAATATCCATATTTTTCAATCTTTTTTTATCCAATTGGTCTAAATATTTTAATGTTGGTTATATATTTTTTAACTCAATTTTTCTACCATAAAAAATATATAAATATATTTTTATATTAAAATAAAATAATTTAATTTAATAATAATTGCTTTTCAACGCCAGATAGTGGGTTAAAATGTGAGTTTGAAAACGGACCAAAATACCCTAAAATCCAAAAAAAAAAAGATTTAGGCTCGAATGTGAAAGGAAGAACTTATAGAAACCCTAATCGTGGCATCGGGCCAACATCTCGACATTGCTTTGGAAATTCCCAAAATCAGATTTTCATCTCCACGTCATGGACGGATATCACCTAGTTTGACTGCACGTATGTTTTTACTGACAAACTCAGATTTTCATAACGCTACTCTTGTAATATTGAGACACTTCGGACATATCTATTCATTATCCATTTGGGGTTTTTACCTGTAACATTTCTTGTTTTGACTCTAATGCTCTAAATTACTTCTTTCCGCTCTAAATATTCTTATTACTTGTTCGAATCCTCGTTTTAGCTTGAATCTTCTGAATCTTGTACTCTAATACCACAATCAAAATGCTCTGATATCAAGAAGCGGAAGCAAAATCAATCGTACTCACACACCCACCAATATCAATTAAACAAAGAGACATAAAGATTTACGTGGTTCGTAGAGAAGGAATTTTCTTACATTCATATGTGGTTGTCAATCACTGTAACTAAAGTGTTTATAAGTGTATCTCTTGCACTCTTACGTTACAAAGTTTCTCTCAATTGTCTCTAGACAAATACAAAATGGCAATGACTCCACATCTCAAAATAATACTAGACGAACCTTTATATATGCATAGCAACATGATACATGAATCAAAGCAACAATAATATTCATACGTGAATCGAGATGATTCATGTATCAATATAGGAGATGAACCAAATGAATCTGGTAGAGTAATGAACCGAAATGGGGAATGTACTAAAATAAAACAACAAACCAACTACGTAAACAAGTATCAAAATTAAACGAGAATTGTTCATCTCTCACGTGCACGTGCATAGCTGATCTTCCACTCTATTTCACCCCTAAGTTCTTATTATTCGGTTTCTCTAAGTTCGAGAAAGTAATATACTACTAAGCTACCTTAGTAGGATCTATCGAACTTATTTCTTTTTAAAGATATTAGGTTTCGTATATCTATTGCATGGGTTCATTCCCATGGTCGATCAATTTAACGTGTAACATTACGACCATCTCATCACATCACATCATGCGCAAAATAAAATTTTAAAATTTTAAAAATATTTAATTTTGGAATTTCTTCTTTTTGTAAAGCAAAGCAAATGATTCCCTCGAAAGGGTAAAAAAGGCTTTTTAATATTCCCATCTCTCTCTTTTCTCCATTAATTCTATTTAAACTCAGAAGGATCGAGAGAGCGCCGTTGCAGAGAGGAATCTTCATCCTTTGATTGAAAGCTTCAGCCGGTAGACATGGCGGCGGCGATGAAGAAGCTGGTGGCAGTTTTCACGGCGGCATTTGTTGCAACCACAGTTGCCGGAGCTCAGACGCATCATATCGTCGGCGGAGACCGGGGATGGGACGTCGATTCGAACATCGATTCTTGGTCGGCCGGAAGGAAATTCAGAGTCGGAGACAAAATCTGTAAGATCCATTCCTTTCGTAACTGTTTTCTTTTTCGGAACCGGCGAGTTTTTCCCCACCGGTACGGAACACAAGGGAAAGTGCCCAATGGAATTATTGCCTCGCATTATTGATCTTTTATCTTTTTTTTTTTTTCTTTTTTTTACTAAATAATAATTTTTTTTTGTTCAAAACATTAAATTTTGTACAAAATATACCATTTTTAAAATTATTATTTTTAAAGAAAAATAATTTAAAGTTTAAAAGTTAAGAACAAGGCGTTTCAAAATTATTATTTGATTAAATTATTTAGAATTTTGGGGAAAAAATGAAATCTAAAAATTTTTATATTCAAATATTTATTAGATGGGAATCACTTTAAAATAATAAATAAATAAATATATATATATATAGCCAATTTTTATTTGTAATAAAGTTGGGGGGGGGGGGGG